ACTGAAGGCAAGCGAGGCAGGGGTAGGCCCAGAACAACATACTTAGGGAACCTAAACAAATGGGTAACAGGGAAAGATCAGGGAAACGTAGCTTTTCTGAGAGCATCCGAACAAAGGAATGAATGGAAAATCATGATCGCCGATGTCTGTCGCAGATCTGGCACTGGATGATGATGAGGAGGCGGGCCTCTGATACTGCCTGTCAGCAATTTAAAAAAAAATGTTCTTCCCACTCGGGAATCGAACTCGGGTGTCCCGCATGCGACAGTAAAGCGCCTAACCGCTACACCCCAGACGCCAGAAAAACCACTTTGTGGTGTATCTTTAGCACGTGAAATCACGTGTTCTGCTGTTTATTTTTAACTTACAAGTGAATTGCGCCTCCTCCTATCCAGCATGGACCAGTGCCCAGAATAATAAAATGAGATTCAATTCTCGTAGAGTTGCAACACAAGACAAATTCTCCTGATTACAGAAATCATATGTGAGGCAGCGTGGTGGAATCAGGCTCTCGTCAGTTTTTGGGCATGTAGAGTTATTGGTATCATCTTAAAGCTTGTTCACTGTTCACTTGTCTTTATTTGGATGAAAAAAATACCCATTTATCTTGAATACAGGTCGAGATATTTGCAAAAGAAGGAGGTGGGGGTCACATGTTTTCAGAGGTAAAATTAGTGAGAAAATGTCCGACAAAGATTAGTTATTTCCTTAAATTAAGAGTCCGTGGTAACTGAAAATTTACATTTTTTGTGCCTTTAATCAACGTTTTTAAGACAAATTCCTCAGAAATGAGAGTTCTTTAATAGGATTGAAAGGTGTTGAGCCAAAAAACAAAAATGTAATAAAAATTCACAAACCTGTGGAAAAAAGCAAGTTTCTTCTTTTTAATTATTTTGACGAGAGCCTGATTCCACCACGCTGCTTCACATATTATTATCTTCTCTCACAATTCAGACGTGTGTGTTTATTGCTCTGTATTTGCTGAACAACACGAAAGGGGGTCGCTTTTGTCTCCGTTATGGTTTTGATTTTTTTAAAAATTGTTTAAAGATTTAAAAAAGCAACTATAAAACTTGCCCCATGTCGTTATCTTCTTTGATAGCATGTTAGAAAATCAACATTGGGGAATATGCACGAGGCATAGTTTACTTTGTTTTCATGTGTTGAAGAAGGCCCCCTCCCCCCTCTCCCTTCTCTCTTTCTCGCTCTCTCGCTCCCCCCCTCTCTCTCTCTATCTCTCTCTCTCCCTCTCTCTCTCTCTCT